TCAACACACACATCAACACACACATCAACACACACACATCAACACACTCATCAACACACACACATACACACTCATCAACACACACATCAACACACTCATCAACACACACATCAACACACTCATCAACACACACATCAACACACACACATCAACACACTCATCAACACACTCGTCAACACACACTCGTCAACACACACATCAACACACACATCAACACACACTCATCAACACACACATCAACACACACTCATCAACACACACATCAACACACACTCATCAACACACACATCAACACACACATCAACACACATCAACACACACATCAACACACACATCAACACACTCATCAACACACACACATCAACACACACATCAACACACTCATCAACACACTCATCAACACACACTCATCAACACACACATCAACACACACATCAACACACACTCATCAACACACACATCAACACACACATCAACACACACACATCAACACACTCATCAACACACTCATCAACACACACATCAACACACTCATCAACACACTCATCAACACACACATCAACACACTCATCAACACACATCAACACACACATCAACACACACATCAACACACTCATCAACACACACATCAACACACACATCAACACACTCATCAACACACACATCAACACACTCATCAACACACACATCAACACACACATCAACACACACACATCAACACACACTCATCAACACACACATCAACACACTCATCAACACACACATCAACACACACATCAACACACACTCATCAACACACACATCAACACACTCATCAACACACACATCAACACACACATCAACACACTCATCAACACACACATCAACACACTCATCAACACACTCATCAACACACTCATCAACACACACATCAACACACACACATCAACACTCATCAACACACACATCAACACACACATCAACACACACACATCAACACACACTCATCAACACACACATCAACACACACATCAACACACACTCATCAACACACACATCAACACACTCATCAACACACACATCAACACACACATCAACACACTCATCAACACACACATCAACACACTCATCAACACACTCATCAACACACACATCAACACACTCATCAACACACACATCAACACACTCATCAACACACTCATCAACACACACATCAACACACACATCAACATACACATCAACACACTCATCAACACACACATCAACACACTCATCAACACACTCATCAACACACACATCAACACACACATCAACACACTCATCAACACACACATCAACACACACTCATCAACACACACTCATCAACACACTCATCAACACACACATCAACACACTCATCAACACACACCCCTCAACACACTCATCAACACACACATCAACACACTCATCAACACACACATCAACACACACATCAACACACTCATCAACACACACATCAACACACACTCATCAACACACACACATCAACACACTCATCAACACACTCATCAACACACACACATCAACACACACATCAACACACTCATCAACACACCTAAACACAGATAATGTACTACTTATAAACTACTTATTTAACAGTAACATATTAATCTGCACCTGATCTCTGATCCACCAACTTGGATCTAGTACTATTACTATACATAGACTGTACTAATCTTAGACTGTACTAATCTTAATCTAGTACAAGTGCTAGAAAGTATTAAGCTAAACCTCTGACAGATCTGAGACAGTCCTAACTTAAAAAGCTCTTCAAAGATCAGACAGACATCAACACTGGGCTACAGGTGGTAACAGTCCATGTCGGCAGCGTTTGGATGACGTCAGTTATGCTGGTGCTCAGAGTAGTTTACTGTCGTCCAGATAAATCACACAAATAAATCGCGCTCAGAGTGTAACTGGCCCTCACAGTGATTTTATCAGGTTAAGGGGTGTTATTAGGCACGAGGAGAAGCAGAGTAACACCTGTACATTATTACTGTAACACCTGTACATTATTACTGTAACACCTGTACATTATTACACCTGTACATTATTACTGTAACACCTGTACATTATTACTGTAACACCTGTACATTATTACACCTGTACATTATTACTGTAACACCTGTACATTATTACACCTGTACATTATTACTGTAACACCTGTACATTATTACTGTAACACCTGTACATTATTACACCTGTACGTTATTACTGTAACACCTGTACATTATTACACCTGTACATTATTACTGTAACACCTGTACATTATTACACCTGTACATTATTACTGTAACACCTGTACATTATTACTGTAACACCTGTACATTATTACACCTGTACATTATTACTGTAACACCTGTACATTATTACTGTAACACCTGTACATTATTACACCTGTACGTTATTACTGTAACACCTGTACATTATTACCGTAACACCTGTACATTATTACACCTGTACATTATTACTGTAACACCTG